CTGCCTCCATCTGTCCAGCAGTTGAGCTCCAAGAAGTGATTGTGGTCAACTAATAAGCACACATGGGGCCAGAAGACAGCAGATGTGGATACTGATGGCAGCGGGAAAGCAAGAGTCACATTCCTAGCAGCTTAGCGAACTGATAAAAACAAGCTCTCAGCAATAATGGTAATAAGACAGAATACTATATTCATTTCCCAAGGGGCTCATTCTCAGGTTGCTTTTACCGCAGGATCTTGTAGCAGATCAGAACGTACTGACCCCAGTCGTCCTGGCCTTACCCCATCCTCCTGCCACTGCTCTGTGGGTGGAGTAGAGGAGGGGTGCTGTTCTCAGAGATGACTGAGCTCAGAGCTAGAGATCCAAAGATACAGGCCTTGATACCAGTCTCCCTTGGAGCTCATGGGCTAGTACCCAAGACAGAGTTGTTTAAAACCAATTATAGGGACTTCCACTGCTGGACCAGAGTAACAGGGGGAAAAGAAAACCACCAAAAAACAAAAACAAACAGAAAAATACATAAAACAACAGTTTTCAGACACTGGGCTACAGGCCAACACAATACAGTGATTCCTGAGAAAGGGGAACAAATGAAATGGGCCCTCCAAGTGCCCCAGCTTACTCCCTGGGGAGGGTGTTCAGGCCACAGCACAGGGAGGGGAACCCAGGCAGAGCTCGATGGTCCCACTGAGACGAGGAGGCAGAGCCAGGAACCTGGGGAGGCCAAGGAGGTGAGAGTCCCCAGGGAAGAGCAGCAGAGAAGAGAGGGCTCCAGAGATCTGCAGAGGCCCCTTGAGTCTTTGGTGCTGTTCACCCCAGGCATGTGAGGAAACCACTGATGCTGGAGAGCACCAGCAAAAAGGAGAAGGTAGAGTAACCCTCAGAGCTCACCCAGGCGGGGGAGTAGTCCGTGGTCCCACCACCCAGAATTTTAGAGAGAAACCCTGAAATAGACGAAGTTCTGGGTACAGTTCTCAGAAGATTACTGTCTCGGTAGTGGGGCCAGACTAGCCCTAGACTAAAGCTGCTCTGGACCCACCTAGCAAAGCTTAAAGGCATGCCTCAAAAGGATCGAATTATTGTTTCCAAGTAACCGTCAAAACTGCATTCTCCAATAAAACTGAGAAATGTTTAAAGAAACTTAAAAAAAGAAAAGAAAAGAAAATCAGGAACCCAACAACATAAAATTCACAATGTCTGATATCCAGTCAAGAATTGCCAGGCATGCAAAGAAGCAAGAAATCTGACCCATAATAATGAGAAAAAGCAATCAGTACAGACTAAGAAATGACACAGATCATAGAATTGATAAAGAAGGACATTAAGACATTTGTTACATTTTATATGTTCAAGAGAGTAGAGGAAAGATTGGGCATGCAAAACAGAGTCATGGAAGATATAAAAAAAAGACACAAGTCGAACTTCTAGAAATGAAAACTACAATTTTTAAGAGGAAAACTACACTAGATAGGATTCACAGCAGATTAAGCTCGGCAGAAGAAAAATTCAGTGGCATTAGCAACAGAAAATTGGAATTTGATCCCTCTCCTCTCTATATACTCCAGATACTAATTTCTACACAGTGTGATTAGTCTCACTCCAGCATTATCATAATAATGTTCCACAAGGTTCTGCCTTCACTCCCTCTCTGAAAGAATCACTGCAAATGATGAGGGAATCAACCTAATTATACATATATACATTATATATATATATATATATATATATAAATATATATATATTCTATGTATTTATGCTTACATAGGCATAAAATGTTTATTGAAGGATACCCAAGAAACTGGTAACATCAGTTGCCTCTAGGGAAGGAAACTAAATCTCTGGGGCAGGGATGAAAGGAGATTTTAACACTATGTTTTGTACCCTTTATATTCATTGGACTAGTGAATGTGTTACTTATTTAAAAAATAAATAAAATATGGAATAAACTGTACGTTCTGGTCACAAGTGGACTCAACAGTGGAGTGTGAAAGGAATGAGGAAGCAGGTGGCCCCTCAGCCACCTGGATGACTAGGTGCCCAGGGCCGTGTCCCCAAGTCAGGCAAGTATCCAGGGTCCTGTCTGTGATGGGCCAGGGTTGGGGAGCTGCAGTGAGCTTGGGAGTCTCAGTGATATCCATACACAGCCCAAGTTGGGTTTTGAGGTCAATAAATCAATCCTAGCCTACACTTGGAGCACCACATGAGTCATCAGCCTACTGCTCAGTAGATTCGAGTTTAAAGGGAGAGCACCCCAAGGATTAGAACCATCAGGTTGATTACAGGGATATAGTTTTCAGCTCAGTATAAAGAACAACATTCTAAAATCAGAACAAAGTGTAAACTGACACCCCCAGCCAGGGAGGTAGTGAGTTCACTGCCTCCGGACGTGTTTAAACACTGAATGGTCACACCACGGGGATGTCACGGAAGGGACTCAGCATCCTGTGGTGGATGGTGCCACACACATAAGCTTTAGAGTCCCTCTGTTTGTACAGGGAGAGTGGGCAGATGGGTGATGTGTCCCCTTTCTCTTTTGCTAAGAGAAGAGTTAGTCAAACGAGACAGAGACCAGTAGCATTTGCACAGAACTCATCGGGTGTCACTCGCTGATGAGAAGTGTGTAGGAATACCCATATCTTTCTAAATACTGGGAGCAATTCTCTTGCTGATGGTACATTGCACGTAATCACCGTAAACCTTGGAATTTAGGTTTGTGGATAATCCCTTGCCTTCCTAATATTCTAATAGCTCCATATTCTTCCAGCTAACTGCATTTATATAACAAATTTATAGTGTAAGAATAATTCTTCAAGATGAGATTCTTGCTACCTTTGCCTAGAACCAGCACCTGACTAGAGGAAAACGATATTCCAGTGTGGCAATTCTGTGTTTAAGGAGAATATGAAATAAAGAGAGGAAGGAATTCTGAGAAATAATGTACCCCCCCCCAAATTTTTTTTTTTATTCAACACAAAGAAAGCAAGACAGAGAACAAAGAGCTAGATGAAGGAAAGCAATCTGTTTGGGGCTAAGCCAAATAAACTTAAATAGTTTAAGGAATAAATTGGTGGAGTAATTCAAATCATGGGCAGGTGCTATGAACGTAATTTAGTACACTCGGGAACCTGCCAAGGAAGAGAAAAATGTGTTGCTTTTGAGATCATTTCCCAGCAGCTTCATAAAAGAAAACTGATTACAGGAATTTAATAAGTAAAACAGAGCCAGAACTATAGTAATCAAATGAGTTTTTAATTACATTTCATGCAGAAAAAAATTCCAATTTGTGCTCCTGGGATTAAAAAAAAAATAAGTTCTAGAGAAATGCTTCTGTGGCAGGAAAATAACATAAACACTAATTTCCATAGGAATTATAGTAGTCAGTTTAATTAAAAGGCTTGATCAGAGCGAAGAGGAGCCAGTGCCAAACTATACTAAAAACCACGGCATTCATCCCCACCTCTTACACTATTGTCTAAATAAAAACACTGCACTAAGCAGAACACAGGCACCTGCATTTTTCTCATGGATGTAAAGGGGATTTTGATCACTGCCTGAGTTATTATGTTGCTGTGATTTATTATCATATAGAATAACAAATACATCTGGTTTCAAATTAGACGTTGTTGCTTGGTGTGATAAACATCGCTAATAAAAGCGAGAACATGCTGTGTTTAAGGGACACGAATGTGAGAAGACACCGCCACGGTGGAGCGCTCGCCGCTCAACAGGATCCCTGCGTATTTCTGGGCTTTCAAACCCCCACTTACCTTACATCTAGTTACACTTCACTTGTATCCCTGAAACTCCCCAAAGCAGAGGGTTATTTGAGGGGATACTTCAGGTCCTCCTAACAGGTGGTTTGCAGTCATGCTTAGGGGATTCCATCCTCCACAGAAAGAACTATTATTCTTCCTGTTTGAGGACTTCGCTCTGGAGTACCCACTAACTACGGGTCCGGCTTGGAGAAGGCTTTTCAGGAGGTGTCCTGCAACCACGGTGGTTTAGTCACTGGTCACCTTTTGTTCCCCTTGTGATGAATGAGACACACCGGCAAGGTGTCTCCATGGGACTGGGAGTATAATCTGTGGCCACAGAACGCTGACCCAAGGCATTAAGCGGGACCATTACCTTTCCAGGGGCTAAAGCCCCACAGCCCCGTGATCCCTGTTTCATTCATTGCTTTGTTCCCCCAGAGGAGTGATCCACATTTTGTGAGGCTGAAAGTTTGTACCATTTGGGAGTTGGGGACCCTTTTTTAAAAATAACACAAAATTAAGTGCAAAAAAGAAATATTTAGAAGGGTCTCCTAAAAGTGAGGACCCTGAATCCTGAGCTTCCTTAGCCTTGTGATCAGTTGGCCTCCAGCCCCACCCTACATTTTCTCTCCCTTCTCTCTCCTGCACCCCTCCATCTGTCCCTCTCTTCCACACCCCTTTTTCTTTTCTCTTGTGTCTATTTCCATGCATATTCTCATGGTGATCTGTACATTTAGCACAGTCCCCAGATCCTGTGCTTTAAAAATGAGCTCCTCTCATCTCAGGATTTCACCTGGCCTTTCTCATTCACGTGAGTCCACCCAGAGTCATCTTTGGTGGAGCAAATGGTAGGTTTATTTTTGTAAAAATTTCAGTTCCTGATCTATTGAGATCTGGAGCCCTCCCTAGCAGGCAAAGATACACATACTAGTAGACCGTGTGAGCTGCATATTTTGTTTCCTGTTGGATGTGAATTTAAAACAGGATCATAATCAACTTGGCTGGCACCCCCTGGAGGAGTGCACAGACATCTGTCTTATTTTTTCATTTTCTATATAAGCTCTATTAATATAACACAGTGGTGCTAAGTGCATATTTACTTCTTATAAATAGCTCATGTTTACCAAAATAATCATCACTTTCATTTCTTACAGCCAGTTGCCATTCTCCTCACAGCAGAAACCTAGAAAATCATGGCAGTGACTCCAGTTCCTCTCTCCCCCACCTGCTTTTGTTATATTTTAGGCATTGGTGAAGGTCAACGTGAAACTGAAGCCGATGCTGGATTCAGTAGCTGCCAACAGAAGTAAGTGGGAAGAGTTGCACCAAAAAAGGCTGCTCATCTCTTCGGCTGCCTCTGCCCCCACTGTCAATCTCATGGTGACAGGAGATGACAGAGACTAACCCTCCAGGTCAGCCGCAGCTGTGAAATGACTGCGTCCTCAAGAGCCAGCTTCGGTCCCACCACAGCATTCTTTTGTTCCTTTAAGCTCAAACAGACATAAAGTCTCAGGGTTGTGCTGGGAAGCATGCCTGGGCTTTCACCTTGCAGTGTGGTGCCAGCAGAAAGGACAGAGGAGGAGGTGGGGCAGGGAGCACATGCCCCAGGATACTCACCTCTCCCTGATGAACACACATGGGCTGAGATGAAGGTTCTGGGCAGCGGGCCAATTGGGTGCAGGACCTGAGGATGGTTGGCCCTGCTCACTGTGAGCCAAGAGAACGTTGAACAGTGAAGGTGTCATTAGCACTGCTTCATATTGTGTATGGCTGTTCTGTTTGTTACAAGCCAAACAACGCCTGCTTTTGCATCCTCTCCTGAGCTCCCCCTTCTGCGCCAGACTGTCCCAAGAATCCCAATTGGTATTCTGTAGAGATATCTTATTTTTAATCCTAAAGCTTCTTAATGATGGATCAGAGCCTTTAGAATCGCCTACCTAAAAGAGAAACTATATTATCCTTACAAAAACCAGCCATTCCCAGTTTTCCCCTAAAAAAGGTCTATAGTAGGAAGACAGCAAATGTGTTTGTCTGATTGGCGTTTAGACAAGATTCATAACATTGTATTGGGATTGTGGTCCCCTTTTTCAGTTTTTTAATTCAATCTTCATTGTAGACCAAGTCTTCTCCCAGAAGGAATGGATTAATAGACTTAAAGTAAGGGTGAAAGGAAATCTATAGGTGGATTTAACGCAAATGACACATGAACATTCAGAACTATTTCCAACAGTGAGACATTTCACAGGACACAGCAGAGCCACGGAGAATGATCACTGACTACCTGTAGCTCTCCTAGTGATGTTTCAGTATAATGTAAGGTTACTACCAGTGCCAACCTAAAGCCAAATGGAAAGGTCCCCAATTTTGGATTTTTCCTTAAGTGTAAGATATAATGCTTGAAAGGTTAAGAAACAACAGCCTAGGCAGAGAACAGATATTCTATAGAAAGCTAGGTTTATAGTAGATAAGAATAAGCTATATTAAATAGATGCAATGACTAGAAAGCTGAGAGACTGAGGACATGGTATGCCTTATCCAAAGAACGCTGGGCCAGAAGCTATACTTGTACCCTAGGTTTGGCACTATTCACTGGATGGCTTTAGACAAGTCACTTAACTTCTCCCAGCCTTTTTCCTCATTTGTCAAATGAGATTACACTAGGAAATTATTTTCAAACATGATTTAACCTTAGAACTCTGTGTTCAAATAAATCTTACAAAGAATCCCCAAGACATAAAACATCTAAAAGCCCAAGTCCTCAGTTTGAAGCTGGGTTGGGAGAGCCAGAGCCCCTACAAATCCTCATTTCTTTGATCACATACCTAGTAGCCCATAATCGGGCTCTGAGGAGTTTGAAAGTCTCTGGACCAGATGAACCTTGAAGTCCATTCCAGCTCTAAAGAATCTAAAATTTACAAACCATTTTTGTTCTTGTTGTTGCTCGTCAGTGTCAGTTATTAACTTTACTACTCAGAGAAACAGAGGCCAAGTTCCACCAAGGACATTTTTTTCCTGGCGCATAGTAGACATCTGGGAAATGTTTAAAGAATGGGTAGATTAAAGTACCAAAACAGAAGTAAGGGAAGAGCAGGTACCCATGGGGAAAAAGGAAGATTCTATATGGCCAGAAATAGAGTAAAAGAAAATTATAAACCAGGCAAATGGGGGGAAGAGGAGGAGGAGGGGAAGCAAAAGAGAACAATGAACAAGGAAGAGATGGGGACCGAGGCAGGTGGTAAGAGAACTGATAAAGGGAAGGTGAACATCAATCCAAACAAAGAAAAATGGCATGTCTTCCCCAAAAAATGAGGGTACAGAATCCTATCATCAATTGCCTAGAAAAGAGAGATACTTGAGCGGGGAGGGGGTTGACAAAAGAGAGAAGGAAGGAGTAGGAGCCCTAAAAAATAATGTTCCCAGCTACCTTTTACAGCTGTCTCTGCGGGGAAGACTGGAGAAACCAGAGGAGAGAATGAGTGCAGGAAAAATTGCCTCTGCAGAGCAGGTAAGAGGAGGTTGTTCAGATTTGTGGATTTTATTAAGCCAGTTTTCTGAATCACTCTGCTATAAAGGAAAACAGCTTCTGCCGGGCTGTCTCCCTCCTTCAGGTGAGGAACAAAGTGGGGGGTGGAGGTAGGGACAGACCCTGGTCGTGTGTCTGCAGCTCAGAAGCACTGCAGGTGTTCCTAGCTATTGTGTCACATCATGTTTATATCACAAGTGGGAATTGAAAATCAGTCCATGTGAGGCAGAGATGAACCCACATCTGTCATCCTCCCCAACGATAAATAAATAAATAGCCCAGACAGACGGATGCCAGTGTATCTAGAGCAAAATTTGAAAGCATGTGCTTTATGATAAAACTAGACCCAGGGTCCAATGGAGACTGCAGGTAGCTACACGCACTGTGGCTACCCTGAACGTTGATGCTGCATATTGCTAAGGGGAATGTAATTTATAGCACAAACCCTACGGCTTCCACTAAGGTTGAGTTTTCCTCTCATTTTCTTCCCTTTTTATTGGCTTCACTGCATGGTTGCCAATAGCAACACCCACTGGTAGCAAGAGCAGCTCAACACCATTGCAATCCGCCATACAGGGGAGCCCTGACAATGTCAACCATCAATCAAGCAGCTGTTTGTAATTGCCTCCATCTATTATTTCTCCTGTCTCGAGGTATCTTTCCTATTGGGGTCAAAATTCAGAAACTGCTGACTAATGCCCCGGTCTGTTCCTCCACAACCATGAAACAGTAGAAAAGATAGCAGCCTCCCTGGTGCCAACAACCCAGAGGGTTAGAGGTTGAACTCTTGGGCGTTTGAGGTATTTTTAATCCCTTTTCTAATGTATAACTTTCCACGAATTGGGGGTATGTGTGGTTACCCATATAATCTGCTTTTCCAAAATAGAGAAATTTTCCCAATCCTTATTATTGTTTACTTCCTATTGGAGGAAAGCATTTGAAATGTGAGCCTTCTTATAAAACCTACAACTGGCCAGATTATGTGCGCTTCCTCAGGTCTCTTGGCATTAATGGTAGAAATGACTTCATCCTACTTTCTCCACGAAGTGTATTTTTTTCAGGCAGGCTATTTATAATTTTATTAGTCAGTATGTGGAGAATACATGCACAACCTACAATGTAGCTGGCAATCCCAGCCAGGAGGGATGGCTTGGCAAACTGTAAAGGGCACTACCCCAGTGCACAGTGGATGGGGCTCCCCCAAGCCTGGCCATCGGCCAGACCTGTTATCTTGGGACTCTCAGGTCTCGGGTTTTCCACTTATAAAATAAAAGCACTGACTTTTATTCAGTTCATTTCTGCACCAAAGGACCAAGCTGTATTTAACTTTAAAAAATTGTTCCACATAACTGTCTTATTCACTCTTCTCAAAAAAGATAGGAGCAAAGAGGTCATCTCCTCACTAAAGACAAAATAAAAAGTTACATATATGGAGTAGATATAAAAACAACCTTATCACAGATATGTCTGAGCCTGCCTCTACTGATCACGAAAGACATGGTCATCAGTACATGGTTATAGGTACAAAAATATACCCTTTTACTTCATAAAGGACAACTTTAGATTATCTCATATCATAGATATCCCATAAATGGTAGTCAGTTTAATTTACAATTTATAAAGTGAGTCAAAAGAAGTTAAAATTGCATGTGTGCTTTCTGTTTCTAAAATCTAAGCTGTCTACACATTTCCAGGTATTTTATATTTGCATACACATTGGGTTGGGTTGGAAATAATCTTTAAAATTTTGTTAGTGAAATAACATTATCTAATATTAATGCTATAAGAATTCAGTTGCTTTTTCATGTATCAAAATTTATCATATTTGATCCACTTACCTGAAGTCATTAAACAGAGTCTGCTCAATTTACTTTGTGGTAGAATTATTTTAAAGTCCATTTCTCCTGCTGACTCTTAATGAATTGCACAAAGATAAAATACAGTTTCATCCCCATTAATAGTGTGAAAAACTCCTCTCAAGCAGGACAGAAATCTAAATATATTAAGGGAAGATTTACATCTAAAGAAAAATGTTTTGGCTGGAAATAAACACTCATAAAGGATTCATTAAAGCAAAAGAGCAAAACCTAATTTGGGACCCTAAAAACTCTGGCAATGCCAGTGAAGTTTCACTGTCTGCTTCAGAATAACAGTCTCTGAAACCATTGTTCTGCCGCATGCTGTAAAGAACTCCCAAAACTCAAATGTCACAGGAAATTTAAAGGTTGAGTCTGACTACAAGAAGGCCAAAATTTCATAAGTTTCGTAAGTGAGCAGTAATAGAATAAAACACGTAGATGGCAGAAATAAAGTGGTGTGTCTGGGGAATTTCATGTTGAGTACTTGGATTTAACAATGCCCGAGGTCCTGCTTACGTCGCTTGTGTACCTTTTCCTCAGCTGGTAATTTGGTGTTGTACATCTTTTCTAATTTAATTTTGAATGTTCTTGCATATTTAGTCCATCTCTCAACAGTGCTAAAGATAAGTTATTTATCTGTGTGGCATATCTCTACCAATGTCATTGAATATATACACTGGCACAGAAACATGTTTGTTTTATTAAGTAAATGAAGTATTTGCTATAAAAAAAATGTGTTATTTCAGGCCACCATTTACCTTTGTGTTCATTTGCTGTGTGTGTATGTCTGTGTTTAGAATCTCGATTATTTTTTTCTTTAGATTTAGATTAAATCATATTTAGATGAATTTTTAAAAATACAAACAGCATTGCATGGGAACAAAAGTTTAGGTTTTGGCTAATCTCACTCCCTTGGTGAAAAATGCTTTTGCCATTTTATTTTGATGTACAATCATCTAAAAAGGATCCCCTACTGATTTGCTTCCTAATTATTATTGTTTTACACAAAAGAAGGGAAATATGTCTTCAACTGAGTTGTCTGACGTCACTCCATTTGTGTAGATTTCCCAAGCTGAGGTGTCATAAGAATACTACATTATAGACTGTTTGCCCATTTCACAAGCATCTAATCCATGATTTTGAAACTGCTTTAAGAGACCTAAATATCTTTGTTTTTAATAAAATGCTTAAAGTTTAACTAAAGCTCTGGAATAATCTTTATTTCTCTTAGGAAGAACGATTTAAGGACTGAACGAGGCAAGCATGCATCCGAATACCTACGATTTAAATTTTGACTGTCAATTTAGCCTATTAACCTTGTCCTGATCTGTGATGTTTGCCTGTGTGAGAGGGATAGTGGGACAGCCCTGTCCATGGAGCATTTTAAAGATGACAAAAGGTTCTTTGAATTATTGAGGTTTTTCTGGAGGGATAAGAGTCTGCAGCCCAATGCAGACGGGTTCCTGTGTCTGTTACAGATTGCCCAAATTTGCGTGGGCAATTACACAGGGGGATCGCATCGATGCAGGGCCTCCAGCCACTGACGCCATACAAATTACACAACGGCTTCGGTGCTTAAACTTTAAAACTCTTACACCATTGTGCCTGTTCTATTAGAACTGCAGCAAATGATCCAAAGCCAATTCAAATGACTGGAGAGGAGGTGCTCAGGGGGAGAGGGAAGAGGCGCAGTGTGGCCTCTACTGGCCAGCTTAAGCAATCACCAACCCCCCCGTGCTGAGGCGACCACAGGCTTCTTTGTGCTTTTCAGTCCATGCTTTTCAAGTGAGGCCAACAGTTAAAATTACCTAATTCACAGAAGGGCTGTGAGGATTAATGAGGGAAGTTAGGCAAAGCAGGATCTGGTCCTGGTACAGAATGTCCTGCATAAACACAGGGGCTCAGAGTAGCTCTTTGTTTGGATGGTTGATTGATTTCTTTAAATGTCAATATCCACAGTTGTGCCTTCTCTGGTAATTCCATTTATAAACCATGTTATTGTGCTCTTCCTAACAAGTTAATTTAGGTAATAACACCACAAGCACCCAAATATAAGCTACTTGATTTTTTTTTAAAGGTATATCCAAGAAGGAAATCTAATTAAAATATTAATAAAGCTGGAACTGCCAGTGAAAGGAGAATTCATAATGAGGTTAAATGTCTTACCATCTGAGCATAAATGTTCCCAAATGTTGATTTGGTATACAATTTTTCCAAAACTCTTAAAAGATTAAACAGATGCTCCTAAAAGTCAATCAGTTACATTACCAATTTGACACTAGTTTATTCTTTCTGCCTTCTTTATGGTGGAAGATTGGGGGGTGGGAAGGAAGAAGAAGCAAGGGGAC